CTATCTGTCCAGGACAAGGCGCCACCTGTCAGCCCTGCTGTCTGCCGTTGGTCCGTCATGTTGGAAAGTCCAGGGGGGTGGACTTGGGAGAAATTCAGGCCAGCGCTGCAAGATCTCCTTGTCGCCTGAAGCCCTCCGAAGTACCTTCTTATTCACCTCGGCTCAAACGACTTGGGTAATATAAAAGGCCACATGCTCCATGGGAACCTTATCCTTAACTTATAATCTTAATTTAATTCCAGGCATATCCAAGTAGTCTATGTACATCATGTTTTCCCTTTTGTCCACATGGACACATAGGCACACACTCATCCATTCATACGGTTCTATTTGTTGTTTGATTGGATTAAAGTAAGGATATGTATCATTCCACTGGGAATGGGGTGGAGGGAGTCGCATTGATTATGAGTTTTGGCTAGGAGTCAGCAGTTTCTTAATTTGGAGAATTAAGTAACAAGTTTAATGCCATCACTTTCCCCATGCAGTACGACTTTAAACAGTATCAGTATCAAGTCTTTAGTTACTTTATTATTAATAGTGTTATAAGCACCTCTGGATTAATTACATCACTTCAGGTTGTGGAAAAGACACATATCCCATGACTTAGCTACCCTTTTTTTTTTCTCAAATATTTATTTCAGTCAGGGGCGACATGATTTTCTCATGTTGTTTGGATATTGGATAATATTATATATGAAACATGACTTTGATATAGCACTGAGCAAAGTGCTCCTTCTACATGATATCCATTACACTCACTACTTTGAGAGTATCTGTTGTTTACATGGGTCCACTGCATATTTTGAAATATATACCATTGCAAGCCTGACAGAAACTGCACAATAAGGAGGTACTTAACATGATCAGGTCACAACACATTTGCCTTTCTAGTGACCACAATAACAAAGTTATACAGAGAGTCCTTCTGAAATAATCACATCAATTCCAATTTGGGATACAACATGCCCAATGCAGGAGAACTTGAAAAAATTAAATCCTATGCATGTAGTTAATGATTTCAAACTGTAGTGCTACAAATTTAAAGTCACTGTAGCATATAAGAAATACAGTCCGATTCACACTGTTAACAAATCATTCAATGTGTAATGACATTTGACCTGGCCTTGACACATGGCACTTACAGAAAAAAGCGCTTATGAATATTCATCCGTTAAAATATGTTTTGTATAATGAAATAAAATCAAGTATTCCATGTTTTGATAAGCTATCGAGTGACCATGACCTCCATCAGAGGTCAATGAGAATCTTCTCAAAATAAGAAATTAGCCAAGAGAGCATACACAATAAATTCAAATTCAAATTGCGTAAGAAGGATTTGGGGGTGCCTGCTCCACACTGTAAGTGACCTTGACCTTCATCCTTCGATAATGACATTTCTAGTTGGAGACCAACTCATAATACTTTATGAAAGAAACTATATATTAGTCATTTAATGAGAGTAATCTTCAAAGTGACAGTGAAATCTGACATAACAAAGACAAACGGCAGGTGTTGACGTAGTGATATTTATAGTTCAGCTTCACTGATGGAAAAATGCATTGATTTTTCATGAATTTAACCAAATATTCCAAATATTTAACTTAACATAGAGTGATCTTCACAGTATACAGGAGACAGCCAAAGGTCAAGCCATCAAGATCCTACCTAGGGACTATGTCCAATTATGGGCATATTGTACACATTTCTAGGCCTAATTTATACTGAGTGGCCTCGACCCTCCATGTCAAAAACTTTCCCCATCAGGTATGGAATCTCAAATATCTGTCAAAATCATGCGATCGAGAAAAACAATTGTGGTCAAATAAGAGCAAACACATTAGCAGACTTCCTTAAGTTTAACGGGTCATCTGCTATAGGAACTACCGCACTCTGAGTGGGCGGAGCTTATACAAGTGAAGTGTCAGGTCAATATGATGTCATGATAACACACAAATTTCATTGGTTTATGCGTAAACGGGTGACGTCATGTAAACACCCACCCATTTGGGCCATTTGACAACAAGAATGTATGTTTTAATGGCAATAAATATCCATCAAACGATTCCAAAACTGTTTAACAAATGTGTGGTTTCAAAACCTACCTGCCATGGAGTCTTCACATCTTCATAAAATGATACTGTGTAATGTCCACGATTTATCCAACACAGTCCAACACAAAAAAATTAGGCCTGCACTATTCTTGGGATGAGAACCAAATACGTTTGTCATGATGAATTATAAGAGCAGTGTAATTGAACAAAACACCATAATATGTATCACAGCACCAATCATAATCCTGTTGTGTACTGTATAGCTGCAGTTTATGAATAGTATTTCTCACTATATATACGGCAATCATTGATTTCAACAGTGTATTTTTCCTTGTGTTCGTCTTTGCCTTCATCTGGAATCTGGATGACAACAATCGTGAAAAAAAAAAACTGGTAATGGTAAAAATATTCAAGCAATGAGAGCAGTATTTTATCGTTTCCGTCACATGTTTTCATCACGCAGTAGCAATGTGTTTGGTAAAGTCACACTTGTCCGAAAGCTCCTCATGCAGAAGCCACTCGATCCATGAAACTTGGTGGGTCTAATCTACATAAAAATTAATGATGTAGATCGAGTCACTTTGCTTCGGAAACAAATTTTTAATAAACAACTGAAGAAAGATAAAGTTGACCTGGTTCTTTTATGATGGTGCAATGGTAGATCAAGTAGTATTTCTTTTATTCGATTGGTGCACAATTTTCAAAGGTGGCAGGAAATATTGAGACATGAAAAATTTATTATGTCATTTCTCGTCGGAATGGAGATAAAACATGGACAGCCTCACATACTTTCGAAACGATGGTGAGATAAATATTTGTTCACATTAATTATGTCATGTGCGTGAAAATGGATTTCAACATTATTTTCATCAAGCTTATTCAGGTCGCTGGCTACACAGATCATCCTCCCTTGAAAACAACTTTGGCATGAACACATGTTTGGTCTCGAAGCTCAAAGCAACAATGTTTCTATCAGATGCATTTTTTCTCCATCCATGAGGAGAATCTGTCATAATGTCAACGCCTCGACAATCTTCCCGGTCAGTTGATTTTAACAATCATCCCAAGATTCAAATTCCTTCCAAATACCCACCCACGTGATCAGGGTTACGACCTTGAGATGAATTAATAAATTACTTTTCATCTTTAGAAAAGAAATGTTTTCATGAATACTATTATTAAAATTATTTCTTTTATTACTTTCTAAAACTTTTTATTTACCCCCTTTCTGACCACGCGATCTCCTAGCAACCACGCCCCCCATGAGCGCATCCGAGTTTGATTGCTGCTTACAACTGTCAAGAACTTTGCACGTTTGCTTGCCTTCAATATGAGCAACAAAACATTTTCGAGTGAAGCTTAAATTGACGGAGAGTTGTTCAAGATGATCAGGGGAGCCTTTGGTCATTTTAATTTTGACATTGATGACTTTATCGTGGAGAAAGTTCCAATTCAAGATGACATCATTCTGACTGACAACTCTTCCTGCCCTTTCAAGTGCAAGAGAAATTTGGACAAATTCAGTGCCGATTCTTGGGATTAGTGAATCAGTGTCACAGCGAGATTTCATTGTGGAACCATATAAAAGGCGAATATGTCTGTTCACACTTCTTTTGTCAAACATGCGTGACACAGCATAGGGAATGATGTGGCCACCATGTTGCAGAAATTTGTTGATTCCAAAACCATGCTACCAATACTTCTGGACAGAACTAAATAGACAAAGTTTTTGAAGGGTTCGTAGATAATCGGACTTGAAGAAACAGATATTAAACGTAGCAGCAGATGAAGGATTGGTGTGGACAAAACGGGAAAGTGATCCCAGATTGTATTTTAAAAAGTATGCGTGAAGTGTTTGCAAATCCGTCAAACAAAAAATACATGGGACAAGTGTGGATCTGATGATCAAACTCAGTTTTGTGTGTGAACTTCTGTGAAAGAAAAGGAAATCCATAATTAAAGTTTTCTTGGAATAAGTTTATTGGAGTTTTTGTTTATCGTAAGTACAATATTATCTGGGTAGGTCGAATGTAGGTCAAAACATCTAGCATATTGCGTCACTTATTTATCAGTTGCTTATGTGCATTCTCATGTTGATACACGTAACATAGTCAAGCTAAGAAATATTGGCGCAACTTCTGGTGCTTCAAATTAGGCCTCTTCCTAAACATTAGATGAAAAATTGTTGTAATAATTTAAGTTTTATAAATATAATCTGGTGATTGTGTGGTATAGATCTAACTGTTGAATGCAAATAACCAAAACTAAACATATATTTGTAATATTAGATTGAACTGAAAGAATCTTGTCGCTAATACTTATGTAACTAACGTTAAGTTCGTATTTATGTATCTTTACTGTTACATCAACCGAACCTGTTGTTGTGCTGTTGTTCTGCCGTAAATATATACACCACAATACACTTTGAACACAAAATCATTAAATGTGTCACATGTAAACATGACCATGTGCTCTGCTATCTATAGCGCCACCCTAAATAAGCTCCGCCCACTGTGCTTGATGCAGATGCCAAACACAATTGATCTGATTTTTTGATGATAAAACTACAGAAAATGCTTGACTTATATCTAGATATGGAGCCATTTGTGGTATCCAAGGTTTGTCATTCAAGTTGATACGAAGTTTGACGGCCAATGGTGATCTTGTTTACGTATGGTTTTTCAAAAAGCTTCTCCCGACACTTGGTTGTGTTTACTTTGTCAGTCACTGTTCAAAACTGAAACAATGCCACCTTGCGGGGCTAATTATAGTCAGGGTGGGACTTTAAGTAACTGACAAGTGCATTTACATTCAAAGTAATGTTACTCCAAGGAATGGTCTCCCTGAGGAGCATCCTTCCTTCATCAACAAGACTGCTTATCAGGCAAAACTGTTGTCATATCTCAACATGAAGTGCAGAACTGATGTAATAGGAAAGGAAACACCTACCTGGATTTCAAGTGCATGATAGGCTAGAATCAGACCCAATAATATCACAGTTGATATGGAAATTAGGGATTTCATGGCAACGGAGTAGAACGTTCCCTGCAATAAACAAATTTGTGAGATGAACATGGACATGTAGCATCAGTCTTCAAGATCATAAATATATATAACAAAAGACTATGCTTACATATTGAAATAGGGTGACAGTAGGTGCTGAAAACTAAATGTGTTTGGATTACATACAAAATATAGAAGCACAAAGCTCTGTAGCTCACCTGAAATATTCTTGTATATTTGCAACACTAGATGTAAATGGTCATTTAAAGGTGTAAAACCAGAATAAAAGAATATTCAAAAATATAAAAGTCAAAGAAGTTTCTACATGTGAGACATCCTTAAAGTGTCAATAGTCAGTGTGGGGCGGTCGGGTAGCCTAGTGGTTAAAGCGTTCGCTCGTCACGCCGAAGACCCGGGTTCGATTCCCGACATGGGCACAATGTGTGAAGCCCATTTCTGGTGTCCCCCGCCGTGATATTGCTGGAATATTGCTAAAAGCGGCGTAAAACCATACTCACTCACTCACTCAATAGTCAGTGTCACATCATCAACATTTATTTTAAGCAAAGCATATATAAAACAAGCATGAAATACTCACATCCCCCGCCAATATGATATGTCTGGTTGTGTGCAATGCATTAGCTCCTGTGAACTATGTTCACTGGGCCTTTTTGTAAATGGCCTAATTGCAGCACTAAAAAAAGTTATTACTGGTGTTGTTTTGCCATCTGCAGTTTATGATAGAATACGTAACTGTATTTGTAATGAGTAAGGATGAGACATATGGACGAACAACTTCTTTATTACAATTAGGAGCGATGGTTTCGTGTAGGTTCTAACAGCCTTATCTAGCAAGTGAAGTACAGAGTATGGTTGACAAGAATATATAGTGTTTATACAGTTGAGTAGGTTTAAGATCAGTTACAATGTTGTATTTGTAATGAGTTGCGTTTCTGCATGAAGTTAGTCAGTGCAACAACTGTGTCCATGACACTTTTGTAGGAATATACACTCAAGCAATGCAGAACTTACCAACAAGAAAGGAAATGTATTCAATACTGTGAGATGACATTATGTGTTTGGGTGAAGAAATATGGTATGGTTTTCAAGATCTGCCCCAGAAACGAGGACTACCGCCATTTTCAGTCTAAGTCAAATCCCAAACTATTAAAAGGCACTAGTTCACCACTAGACCTATTTATGTGCCAAATATGGCGAAGAAATATAGTACGGTTTTCAAGATCTGCTCCGGCAACGAGGACTACCGCCATTTTCAGTCTAAATCAAAGTCGTTGCCAAGGAAACCAGGGGTCCGGAAACTGTCATATGCGCCGGACATGTCCGATTGGGAATCTCAAATGTCCGGTTTAAAATATTGCTTACCGGACATTTTAAAAAGTATTGTCCGGACATTCTTAAATTTTGACCGGACATGATCAACAGTTAGGACTGAGCAGTTTCTGTCTGCAGTTGCAACACAATTAAGATTATCTACACTGACAAGCTTTGTTTGTTTTGATTGCTGTAAATGCATCGTACCTACATGATAGTCCAATCGGTCAATCACTGTAATAGGCAATAAACTGAGTTGACACTGATTAATTGAGGATTAATTACTGAGAACATCTTGTTAATTTGCGTGAAAGGTGTTTACAACTGTACATAAATACCTTGCATCATCGATGTACATCATTATCCTCACAATGTTACGATACGTAACCTCAGACAAGAAGCGAAAGCGTGACGACAGCCAGTCGACCGATGCAGATCAGTCGAGCGGATCTGCCCAACCCTCAAAGTCTAGACGATCATTTTGTAAGTCGTGGCTAACGACTTTCACTTGGTTGACAAACAATGAAGATTTGCAGATTTTATTGTTTTCAGTAGCTAGTCGTATATTGAATCTTGATTGACCGCCATTTTGCTTTCTTGAACAATCGATATCAAATTTTTTTATGGTCAATAATTAAGTACAGATGAAAAAAGTATTCAAATAACTATTGCTATCAACGATATTTTAGTATTTGTGATTAAATTATCTGTCTTGTTTTAAAAAAATCTTTAGTTTAAAAACAACCTTTTCCCGTGAGGTCACGTGATAACCAAATATGGGATAATAGTCTCGATCCAAATGTTACAACGCGTACACTTGAGCAGACACATGAATATAACTCATGAATATTAATAAGACCGTTCACTTCGTTAACAGATCGTTATTATAACAGAAACAAACATATGTTTTCCATGTATATCTAAAATGATATTATTTGTTATTAATTGTCCGGTGAATTAAACAATTTAAATTGAAACAATTCAAAATTCATCATATTATGAATACGTAAACTTGTAATGTGTGTGAAAAGTCGTACTAAAATACGCTATTTGAAGGGGGCGTGGCCTAAATGCAAAATGTCCGATTGGGATTTTAAATTTTCCGGACCCCTGATGGAAACTCAAAAAAATTATTTTTTTTAATCCCAAACTATCAATAGGGCACCAGTTCACCACTACACCTATCTATGTGCCAAGTTTGGAGAAGAAATATGGTACGGTTTTCAAGATCTGCTCTGGAAACAAAATGTGATGGATGGATGGATGGATGGACGGACGGGACCCATTCCTATATCCCCCTTCCACTTCGTGGCGGGGGATAATAAACAAATTAAAGAAATAATGTACAATGTACATATCGTCATTTTCATTTTCAGTTTATATATTTATCCAAATAATAAACAGTAACATGGAAACTTCTAATACAAATCTATCTGGTGTCTAATGCTTTGTTCAAACACCAGTAACATCTCCAATATTCATTTCTGAAATGTCAGAAAAACTCCAAGCAAACCCCTATGTTGGATAGTGTTTACAAAACCCTGATTGTTTCTATCACATCACACATTTCACACTCAGTTACGACACATACATCCTTGAATTCCTCATACCATCAATAATTTGTAATTCACAAATACATATGGTCCAAATGAAATCAACCAAATATATCAAGAGTGAATATAAACCTTGTGCTGTGAAACCTACACATTTGAATATGTAAACAAAGTAAAGAAACCAAACCTGAATTCATCCATGTTGTTGCATTCATTGGGTGTGATCAGTGAGAATGTGCATGGGAAGAAAAATCATTGCAAGAATTGAGGAATTAACAAGAGTCATCTGAAGATGACAATCCCCCTGGTCTGGAAATTTGGCTACTTATACCCTGCTTAAGGTTCATTGCCATTGGATAACTTCAGAAAAATATAAAGCTATTCAGCATTTTTCAATATCCCAAATCATCAAGAGGCAGCAGTGCACCACCAGACTGATCTGTATAGCAAGTTCCATCAAGAAACATTCAATGGTTTGGGGGTTCTGATCCGGACATGAGCACTGAATTCATTTTCAGTTAGGTCCAACTTGTTGTCATGAAAACATTAAAAATGTAAAAAATATAAATCCCAAATTATCAAAAGGCTCTGGTTCACTACTAGACTGATCTGTATAGCAAGCTTCACCTACAAATATTCAATGGTTTTGGAGTTCTGCCCCGGAAACAAGTCCCCTCCTTGTCATGAAAACAAACACAAAAAAACATAAAAAATTTTTGTTTGGCAAATTATCAATAGGCACCCGTTCACAACTACACAGATCTGTATAGCATGTTTCAACAAGAATATTCAACAGTTTAGGAGATCTGCTCTGGGGATGGAAAACAGATGGACATGCTGATCTCAATGTCCCCCCGATTTCAAACTGAGGGATATAATAATATATGCATCACAATGACATCAAAATTAAACAGAAATTGTCGAAGATTCAATTCCACATGACACCATGACAAACGAAAAATCATGCACAGTCATGATGGCATTTCTCTGCATCTCTGACTAAGATTCTCAGCAGGCACAGACATACAGTAAACAATGTTTATATCGAACTGACGGAACCCGGCCATTTGCTTTATACATGTATATGCTGTACATATTGTTATAACAAAGTGGTCCCTTTGAGTTTGTTATAACCATAGTTTATTGTAGTTTCAATGTTGACATTTCATTGATCTGAAATTACTACATTGAAAAACATTGGATCAACACTGTTTCAACATTGGTCTGTCAATATTTGAAAATATGATAAAATCTGACATCTAACAATATTGAAAAGTTATAAAAAAAATTCAACATGTCATAAAAACTACCAACTCTGCATCACATCTACAAGAAGTCTACAGAATTCAGTGTCTAAAAATGTAAACGTGAAAATTGTTGAACTTGTGAATATCTAGTTAAAAATTCATGCATGAAGTTCAAAAACAGGAAACAACCATTTCATGTACGTTATAACCTGGACTGCTCCGTAAAACATATTATTTATGTTATAATATGTCAAGAGTGTCATGAAGAATACATTGGACTAACGGAGTGCTTAAGGGACAGAAAGCGCCTCCATAAACAGCAGATAAAGGACCCTAAAACAAGGTGTATCCCTTAAAGTGCTCACAAATGCACAGCAGGAAAGACATAAAAAGTTATGATATTCCCTTTCTTTAAAATGAATACTGCTGATGCCATGCAGCACAAAGCTAAAGAAAGCATTTTCATTTAAAAGTTGTGTCCATCATTAACTAGGTTACACAATGAATATGAATTATATTTGTTTTTATTGTGAATTTTACCATTTTCAGTTCAAGCTGCCAATGTGTCATCCTATTTTGGCATTATGACCTCCTCATGGAATGGCTGAGTAGTGAAGTCAAATAACAACAGTGCACACTGTGTGAGTGTGCTTGTCTCTTTTCTCACAAGGCCAATTAACAGACTGATAGTGACATATAACTCCCTCAAAATGTGGCATTTCCCCTTAACTAAACCATGTATGGAACAGGTCTCCAATGTTGAGAAATTGGCAGCCCCCAAAGGTGTACCTAAAGTAGAGTTTGGGAGTCAATTTGACCTGATTATACAGTGCAAGAGAGATCAGTGTGTATCAATGCAACCAATATCTACACCAATACCCAACTAAAATTCAACCTTGTTTCAACATTG